CCCTAAATAGAGCCTAGGGTCGGTTCTCCAATAGGTGCATCCAAAAACTCTTCAAAAAGCATCCAAATTCGTCGAATCTTCTAGAAACAGGGTCTGCACCGACACTGGTGCCGTCGGCGCAAGAGGCAATTTAATTAATCCATTTTCTCAGTCAAACAACGCAGTTAGAGCCCAGTCTGATGCCGTTGGCGCTAAACTATTTTTTAAATTCTCCATTTTGACTCCAATTTTTATTCTTTTTGCTCCAAGTCCTAAAAATCAATAACCTGCAATAAAATATAAAAAATATATTAAATTAAAGTGCAATATCACCAAAAATAAGTATAAAATATGGGTTTAAAAATGTATATATTTTTGATGTATCTACTCTAGAATATTAAGCCGAATGAATGAGTCGAGGCTCTGATACTAATTAATATATGGTATGGCACCCAAGAGGAGAATGCTGAATTGGGTAAAAATAAATTTCTTTTTTTATTTTTAATTAAAAAATTCTTGATTTTTAATTTTATAGAAAACAATTTTGTAGAAAACTTGAATTATAAAGTCTTCAATGCTATTAGTTAAGGAAAAAAATAACCAAGTAGATAAAACAATGCAAAAAGAAAAAAAACAAGAGATAAATTATTTTTACATGATTCGACTATGTTCAAAACCGGCCTAAGTCGACACCTATGACTAGGAATTTCACTAATCAGATGGAAATTATAACCAATCTTTTGCACTCTCCTACACCGGGAAAGTACAACTCAAACATTGTGTTATCCTATACCGAACAAGCACAATTCCAAACACTAAACTTTCATACACCAGGCAAGCTCTTCGCTCAAATACAATCAACTAATTTCGCTCATTCAAAATTTTAAAAAGATTTTCACTCAACCCAAGCTAAAAATAATTAACAAGGAAAATTCAATAAAAGTTTAAGTTGGTATGTGAAGTTTATGTGAATGCTTATATGAAATACACTATGAAACAAACACACAACATTCTAAAAATGAATGTAACCTTTTTAACATAATATATTTCAACAACTTGCATTTTTAATGTTGATTAAACCATCATGCAATATTCTTTATTAGGATTTGAAACTCACTTAGCAAGCTAACAAGACACAATTATAAGTAACAAAGAAACTTTTAAATCACGTAATATATTATGTTAGAAACCCGCCAACCGCCGAGGTAAGAATGAAAAAATAATTGAAAACTTAATTTTAAAAACATATCAATTTATTTCTCCCAAGTAATATCATGTAATTAAGAAAGTTAAATATAATAATATAGATTTGACATAAATCTTTGATGTGAGATTGAGGAACCAATGATTTGAAGAAATTTCTCCAAGAGATCTTTCTCGAACCAAAGAAGTTTTACTTGAGGAATACTTAGGGTTAGCACACAAAAAAGAAATCAAAGCACTCCACTTAAAAAAAAAGAAGAGAAAAATCGGCCAAGACTTTGGAGGGAGAGTAAGGAAAGAAATTGAATCGATTTAAGATGAGGTAAATTTTGGTCAAGCTTATTTGGTAGAAGATTTGAAATTATTTTAGATCATTAATGAGGCTTGAAATTTATCCCAAGATGGGCTTGAAATTATAAAAATGAGGCTCAAATGTACTTGATTTCATGGGATTTATTCAAGGGAATAATGGAGATTAAAATTAAAGAATTTTCCAATCAATAAATAAGAGAATTTGTGCACTTAAGGCATGAATTGGTCAGCCCAAACATGGTGAAATTCGATGTCTACATAGGTGTCAAATTTAGACAGATTTTACAAGTTTTGGTTCAAGAAATGAGTAAAACTAAAATATGGAAAAAATCTAAATAAATTCCCAAAGATTTAATACACTTAGAAAAGCATTTAGACCAACATATTATGCAAAAAAAATCAACCAAAAAAAAGGAAGAAAATTTTGCTATAGGAACTTATATGAAACTATGTAATTATCTCACAATTTATTAAATTAGTTCAACTATAATACAAGTGTGGCTAGTAAGTACATGTTTGAGTGAAAGCTAATCAAATATATGTTAGAATTCATTTTATAATTATTCTTAATTATTAATAAAGTATTTCACATAATTTATTTAGTGAAAAAACATTTATTGTCTTAAAATATGCGAAATAATTATTTTCATATTATAAATGAGAGAGAAAATATAACGCTATATTAATTTTTAATTTAAGCATAACATTGAAAGATTATACAAGTCATCATTTTATAAATAATGTTAATGTCTTACATCCCAAAAATGAGATAAAAATATGGTCGTGGTGTGGAGATATAGACGATTTATCATTGTAAATAAATATTTTTGGATTATTCAAGAGATTGAAAATATTCTCCTTTATTATTTTCCAAATTAAGCATAACATTGAAAGATAATTCAAGCCACAATTTCATAATGTCTTACATCTAAAAAATGAGATAAAAATATGGCCATATTGTGGTGATATAAAGTTTTTATCATTTTAATTAATTTGTAAAGAAAATACGTATTTAAGAGTAATTTAAAAAATTAGGTTATCAAGATATGCAATAAATGAGTGATTCAAGTTAAATGAGTAAATGCCAGTGATATGAGTGTGTTAAAGAAATTGAGCTCTTATTTGTCTTGTTATTTCCATATCCTACTCATAACCTAAGCACTTCTTCAACTACCAGTTCAAATGATCTTAACTCCACAAATTTGAGATAACTTAGGATAAACATATTAATATCACCCATCATTTATTTGTTATCATCAAAAGACATGCGAAGTGTGATTGAGTTTATATAATCAACAACTAAGAATTTTGAACGTGCTCATGAATAAGAACAATGCTTGAAGCAAATAAAAAAAATTATTATTGAGAAATTTATGTATTGTTTCTATTTAAGATAACCAAGCCAAAATGGAATCATCAATTTTTACAATTTTCTAGTGTTGTTCAAAGGACATCAGTTATGCTAGCCTCCATTATGCTTTTATCACCACCAACCCTCTTTTTTATCATCCCTTGCCTCTTTAATTGGTATAATATTCTCTCTTTTATAAATGCAAATTGGAAGAAGATTCACATAACATCTAAGCTGGCCCCGTTAGAGGGAAAGTTGAGTCAAACTGGAGAACAAGTAAAACTAATCAACATCCCTTAATCTATCCCGAAAAGTATTGCAAGTGATATGGATTTGGGCATGTTGAATTAGAATGCACAATCAGAGGGGTGATCTCTTTCGCTGAGCAGGGTGTTCTTGAAATGGTGGGTAATGACACTGTAGACATTAAGATGGTGAGGACACAAAGGATAAGAACTAGCTTCCCCTTGAAGAGGAAAGGTTGCCCACAGTTCCAGCTGAGCCCGTGTGGAGACTTGAACCAACTTCACGTTGAGAGCCCAAGACAGTCTTGAGTTCGAGGAAAACTAACGCCAGAGGCACAACAACCAAAGATAAAAGAACTTTTCACCATTCAGATCTATAGAGGGTCTATTTGGGGTTGCTGCAACTTATTAATAAGCTGCTGAAAAATAATCCGTTGTTTAAAAAACTGCGGTGACTATTATAATTTTTTTTTTTGAAAAGCCAGACCGCAACTAGAAAGTTGTTGCCGCACTTAGCCAGAAACAGTGTGAAAATGCGGATTTCAGCTGTTTAAAAACACAACTTTTTAAATAATCTGTCAAACGACCTTGGGTGCGCTTTCAAAACGCATCGCACCAAATAGGTAACCACAAACAGGGCCTTATTCCTGAATTACTCTTGTTGAGAGAGGTCCATCACATTAGAAATGGGTCTTTTTATGCCACATTGGGAAGACTAAATGGAGTTATTCAGATGTTGGATTCAATTCAGCATAGTACCCATCATCCGATGTCCAGACATGAGGGATAAACCCCACCATTGAAATTTTGTC